ATGGCCTGCCTACCTCTGTCTTCTGGAGTATCAGTGAGGGGCGAGGGAGCAGCAGCCTACTTTGGTCATGGTTACTATGGCATGGGCCACCTGTGCTCTCCACATTGGACGGGGAGCTTAATTACACAGGCTTATGAGAGTACATGGCAAAATTACAAAAATTCATCATTTTAGGGTACTACTCGACATCAGACGACCAAATGCCTAAAGCCGGGCCTCTGTCAGAGCCACAGCGTGAACTCCGCAAGCCAGCCCACGTCAGGATCCCAGATGAACTCACTCGCGTTACCCAGAGCTCTAATGGGTCCCAAACGTTCACTCCGCCAGAGCCAACCCAGAGGAGTATTTCTACTTGCCGTGTTTTTCAAAGTAAAAAGATTGTTTTTAGGGACTCCCTGTCTGTCATCTCTGATCTCAAAGCACATTATGGAAGGACAATTGGGCACTGAAAAGGAACCCTGGGTTCCGATGTCCTGTGTCTGTGCTTTTGTGGATTCAGGACTATCCTAAGGAACCCCAAAATATTCCTGCAGTCATTGAGAAAAGAGAAGGAAGGACTCTGGGGAGAGGGAATGATAACTCGGTGGGGCTATGTACTTTCAGGGCCAATCAGACATTTCCGTTTAAATGGAAGCCCCTGCAAAGCTGGCTGGTGACACGGCGCTGTAGAATCCACAGACCGCTCTGACCTTCTTATTTCACGTTTAGGCCCACGTAGGAAGAACTCCCTATGGATAATGATGACAATGTTTGGTGTAAGGAGCCCCAGCCCGAATCCACTGTGAACGTCATATTTCATTAGCATGACTACTTTCAAAATGCAAAGAAACCACAGCCCTCTAAGGGGTGCAAAATATCTATGTTCAGAGGCCCAGGAAGGTCTGGGGCCATAGGAGGAGGGCAGGGTTGAAAGAGCTGGACTGCAGTCCTCTTTCTAGCAACTTATTATGGGAACGACACCGACCCAAAGGTTTAAATTCTCAGAGACTGTTTCCAGATTTATCTGTTGTTTTCCAATAATAATTACTGCTTAACCCCCAACATGGGCGGGGGGTGGGGGGGCGCAATTAATGTCAGGCATAACCGAGGCAGCAGGTATTGGATATTGTTGCTCGGAGGCTGAGGTCACTGGGTTTGATTCCTGGCCCATCCTAAAGCCAGGCATAGAGGCACATGCCTGTGGTCCTTGTCATTTAGGAAGCTGAGACAAGCTCTATGATACAGCAAGACCTGGTGTAAAATACCACACACACACACACACCCCAAAAAAATAAAAAATAAAATAAAATAAAATGGTGGAGTGGTTCTTTCTTTCTTTCTTTCTTTCTTTCACTTAGAATTTATTTTTATTTAAAAAAAATTTTTTTAAGGTTTTTGCCATAGGGCACATGTGTTTGCCAGTGAGAGACTGTGACAGGGAAAGTTGAGAAGTCATCCCTAGGGGCCATGGCCATGCTGCAATCCCCTCTCCTCCATTCTTCTCCTGGGATTTTGAGCACATATGTATACAGAGTGATTTTCAAGTTGCCAGGTCTGGGATTCAAACCGTGGTTGGCCATGTGGGAGTCCAGCACTTTAACCATCATGTCACCTGCCGGCCCCTTTATTTTAAATTTTAGAAATTTGCTAGAGGGCACATGCACTCACCAGACAGAGATAATAAGAGAGAGTAAGGGAAAGTGAGACAACAGGGGGCAGGAGGGACAGTCACATGGCAGTCCCTTCTCCTCCCTCTCTTCCTCCTTTTGAGATTTTGAACACACACACATGCATATCTGCCATGTCTCCCAAGCTGCTGGGCTGGGGCTGGAACTGCATGGTCGGCCATGTGGAATACAGCTTCTCAAACACCATGCCATTGCCTGGCCTGACCCTACTCATTTCTAGGACTTATTTTTTCCCTGTATAAGATGGGGTTCCAGGGACCAGGAGTTGGCGTACTGGCTATGTCACTGGACTCCCATGTAGTCGACCATGGTTCAGGTCCTGGACCTGATGGCTTAAAATCTCACGCCGAGGGACCAGCAGTTAGTGTAATGGCTATGTCGCTGGACTCCCACGTAGTCGACTGCGGTTCGCATCCCGGACCTGGTGGCTTAAACTCACGCTGGGCACATGTGCATGCGTGCCCAAGATCCTGAGAGGAGAATGGAGAAGGGATTGCAGCGTGGCCATCCCCCCAGGGGGTGATTTCTCGCTTTCTGTCTCTATGTCTCTCTGTCTGTCTGGAGAGTACACACGCCCTATAGCAAACAAAACCCTCTCAAAAAAAAAAAAAAAACTCACGCCAAGCGTGTGTGTGTGCGTGCATGCCCAGGATCCCGAGAGGAGAATGGAGAAGGGATTGCAGCATGGCTATCACCCAGGGGGGTGATTTCTCACCTTCTATCTCTCTATCTCTGTCTGTCTTTCTGGTGAGCGTATGCGCCCTATAGAAAAAAAACTCTCAAAAAAATGCATCTGGATCAGAATCAGGTATCGGGCTAGAAGTGCTCAGGACTTCTTTCTATGATATTCTAGGCCTCTGAGGCTTCTTTTTTTGATGAGGTGGAACAAAAGCAAAAGTGATAGAGGTAATGCCACAACATAAGTCCTGGCGACGTCACCCAGTCACGGGGAAGGTAATTGGCTCTAGATAGCAGCAGACTAAACCAACCAACCAACCAACCAAACAAACAAACAAACAAAGCAACCAACCAACCAACCAAAACAACCAAACCAACCAAACCAACCAAACCAACCAACCAACCAAACCAAACCAAAACAGAGGTGGGAAGAAAGACCCGGTAGAGGAGCAGGACACCCCCTGCCTCTCGGTTTCTCCTTACATGCTAGCGTTAAACCAGGGGTGGGAATAAACTGGCCTTGTTCTCAGCTCTTTAATCCATGGTTTTCCTGCAAGTCAGCCCTATTTTCTGTTGGGGTAAACACTCATGGTCATGGAAAACGGGGGGAGATTAACAGAGCTCTCAGGGGCCCATGGCACCAGCCAGAGCGGGACAGAAGTCTCAGCACTTCCTGAAGTTCCGTACAGCCGGGAAGAGTTACTTTGATCTCAGTCTGACACAGGATTACGTGAAGTTTTCATAAGAAATGACAGTGAACGAGAAGTAATCTTCAACCAGGAAGTTACATTTAACTAGGTCATCTGGTTAACTGAAAGTTAATCTTTTAAAAATACACATCTTGGGAACCAGCAGTTAGCGTAATGGCTATGTCACTGGATTCCCACGTAGTCGACCGTGGTTCGCATCCCGGACCCAATGGCTTAGAACTCACGCTGGGTGCATGTGCATGTGTGCCCAAGATAGCGAGAGGAGAATGGAGGAGAAGGGACTGCGGTGTAACCATCCACCCCCCCGGGGGGGGTGATTTCTCCCTTTCTGTCTCTATGTCTCTCTCTGTCTGCCTGGCGAGCGCACGCGCCCTATAACGAAACCTCTAAAAAAAAAAGAAAAAAAAATACACATCTGTTTTTTTTGCTGAGCCATCAGAACACACTCAGCATTCACCGAGACTCAATGTATGCAAAGCACCTCGAGGGTCCATGACGTGGCCATGGCTAGTTTTCTGGCATGCAGGAGTAGACCATTTAGCTAACAAGGGCACCAGGCTGCATCTCACAGTGACTGTCGGGGCCTGTGGTCACCATAAAGGCTGTAGCTCTCATGAACCAAGAAAAACTTAATTTATTGATTAAAAAAAAAAAATCACTGTCAAGTGAGAGGAAAAAACCTAGTGAAATTTGAGAAGGTAGTTAACTTGTTTTGCACAAATAAACATGGGACCCCGGTGGGCTTAGCTGGAAAATGTGATTTGGTAGAAAAATAGAAGTCAATATAAAATACTTCTGAAGTGGCAAACTGGAAGGCTTCAGGTCTCAGGACACAACCTTTATCTTTTAATTAAAAACAATTTTTTAAGGTTTTTGCCATAGGGCATGTGCGCTCACAAGCAGGAGGGAGAGAGACAGTGGCAGGGAAAGTGAGAAATCAACCCCAGGGAGTTTGGCCGTGCCGTAATAATTTCCCCTCCATTTTCCTCCTGGGATTTTGAGCACCCATGCACCGGTACCTGATATGAATTTAAGCCACTGGGTTTGGGATTAGAACCACGGTTGGCCTTGTGGGAGTGCGCTTAACACCACGCCCCCTGCTGGTCCCACGGACACAATCTTCTTGAATGTACAGGGTCTACTATACAGACAGAGAAACATAACCGGATTCTAGATGACCAAGGATATGGTCAGGCCTCAGCATCATTACCCCAACACTGGGATAAAACACACAGGAAATTGGGCTGTGTTCTAACTGCAGGGCAATTCAACACATAAATTCTGGTTCGGTCACTACTTGACCTGTGAACCTAAGTGATCAGCCTCTAGAGATGAGAATAACACAAGCAGTTCATTGATTACTCAGATTTCTTGCTTTCTGCTCAGTTATTGACTTACTGTGTAGCTCTAAGAGGAGCAGCTTTACCTGACGGAAAGAAAACCAGTCACTTTAATCAACAAGAGGTAAACTTAATGAAAAGCTATTCTGAAATTTTACATATAGCATCCTGTGTATGAGCAGAGCCGGGGGAATATGACCATCACACAGTGATGGAAGGAAGATGGGGACACAGGAGGAAAAGTAAAAGACAGGCAGGAATAAAGCATAGTATTCTAGTACTTCTCCCCATGTTTCCCCTGCTGCACTTCTTACCCTTCCAATCTAAAGTCGGACAAATGATGAGGAAAACTCACTCCCACCATTTTTTCCATGTACAGACACATACATCCCTGGGAGGTAAGTTCCCACATGATGCCACTGAACCAGCAATGCCTGGGCTGTGTGTGCAAATGAGTGTCACTGCATTCGTGCAACTTGCTATGCCTTAGTCATGGCAGCGTCTGCTGGAGAGACACATTCTCATGCAGGGCAGTAACAGAGACCTAGGGCCGCTTGCAAACCCCACTGCGACTGCGGAGTTCCCAGACACCCATGCATGTTTACCTGGGGAGCCTGCCAGAGAGTCCCCTCTGCTGAAGGCGAAGGTACGAGACACAGAGACAGGCACTAAAGAGTCAGGGGCCAAGGATTTGTGAGTTGCGAAGAGGAAGAGAAACACAAAAGGAGAGAGACAAAGAGCAAAGTGGGTGAGATGGTCTCTTCCTGGATCTTCACAACATCACAGTTCTCTGCCAAAAGGAATCTTGCCTCTGAAAACGTGGGCATCTCAACCTCTCACAAAGTCACCCCCCAGAATGACAACGGAATGGAATGGACTCGCGGAAGGCCTTCTGAAAGATGTGCGATAGTCTTAGAGGAAGCAGCCATCCAAAGACAAGCGCAGGCAGTGCCCTGCGGGGCGCGTGTGGGCAGCATTTTCTCTGCCATTCCGAGCCAGCAAATCTGCTTCCCCAGCTGCCGCGTGTATCCTGCTCCACGAGGGGAGGCGTCTGCACGGGCACTCAGAGACCTGAAAGCAAAATGCAAGCTCCTGCTCAGGGCAGGCTTAGGGAAACTGGATCCCACCTCGACTCCTGGGAGCTCCCTCTGTAGGCACAGAGCTGGTGAGGAACTGCACTTGGCTGGAGGATGGGGCAAAGGAGGGCCATTTTTTTTTTTTTTTTAGCAGTTTTAATGTGAAGCAACTATAAATCAGGGTCCCTTCTCAGCAAGTACAAGTGCTCAACTCCTCGTTCTATCCCCCTCTCCTTCTCTTTCTCCTTGCAGAGCCCAAACGGTGCTGGGTATCCCTGGGGGCCTGGATGGGTGGGATGTGTGGCAACGATCCAGTCCTTGTCCCATCTTGATCCTGACTATGTGGCGTGTCTACACGGGAATCTGTCTTTCTCTTATCTGATCAATCCTAGGGGCCCTTTGAGACGCTGTGAAGCCAGCCTGTAGGTGCTGGCACAGTGACATAGTCAGCTGTTGTAGTCTTCCTGGCTGTCAGGTTACTTTTTTTTTTTTTTTTTTTTTTGAGGTTTTTGCCATAGTGTGTGTGTGCTTGCCAGAGAGGAGAGAGACAGAGAGGGAAAGTGAGACATCACTGATGTCCACACAACCCCTTCTCCGTTTTCCTCTTGGGGTTTCGGGCACACACATACATAGGTCTGATGTGTTTTTTAAGTCACAGGGTCCGAGACTTGAACCATGGAGTCGAGATCCAGTGGGATCCAGTGCCCCAACCACCTGGTGTTAAAGGAGATATCAATGTTAGAACTTTACTTCTGTCTCATTGATAAAATCGAAGGATTTTGGTAGAAAAAAACTAGAGACAAGAAGAAAGACAGGTGAAGATCAGGTAATATCCTCCTACTTGTGAACAAATGAAAGGAAATCACATGACTGGGCCGGCCAGTGAGCCTTATGCAGCATTTTTTCCCTCAGAGTTCCAACCTGTTCTGATTTTTGAAAGAGCCAGAATGGGACCAGCACTTCTAGGTAACAGATCCAAACCCATGGATGACCCTTGCTGTCGTGGTGGTGGGACTCTCCTTCAGACAGCTGAGGCTTGCCTAGTTCTGGGGCCCACGTCTCCCTTCCAGATCTCTTACACTGAGTGCTAAGGTTTCCTTCATCACTCGCGACTGCGATTTGTTGGCTTATATTAGCATAACAATGCACCAGGGTTTTATTTATTTGTTTTCTTTTTCTTTTAAAGAGGTTTTTGCTATAGGGCGCATATACTCGCCAGAAAAACAGAGAGAGACAGAGAGACAGAAAGCCAGAAATCACCCCCCAGGGAGGACGTCCACGCTGCAATCCCTTCTCTTCCATTCTCCTCTTGGGATCTTGGGCACGCACGCACATGTGCCCAGCGTGAGTTTAAGCCACCGGGTCTGGGACTCGAACTGCGATCGACTGCGTGGGAGTCCAGCGACAGCCATTACGCTAACTGCTGGTCCCTATTTGTTTGCTTTTAATAGGTCTCTTTCAACACAAATTCTGCCACCCCCGTTTGGTGTGGGCAGGCACTGAGACTTTATTTCAGCCGTCTGCTGGGCTAGGATGTGAAATCACACTGTAATTGTTCCAGGATTTCTACATGGAAGTTACATTCTGGAACACAACGGATCTGAAGTCTTTAGTGTGTGTGCTGTGTGAACGAGTAAGGTCACAGAGATGCTTCTAGGTAAGTCATCAGCTTGCTAGGTGATTGGGAGCACGTCACATCTTTGGTTTCTCTCCTGTTAAAATAGTACCTACCTCGCCACGTTCCAGGGACTGAGACCAAGTTCTGTGAAATCCCAGTATAAAGCTATGTAAACCCTTTCTTATGATAAGAAACACCCCGTTTGGCATTGACGTTGCCACCATAAACAAGAATAGCTGAAAGCAATGCAAAATTCAGACCAGCGGATCAAAAAGAAATCTCGAAAAATAATTCTTTCTGGATCCCACATCATCATCAATGCCATGACCTTTCAACACGAGTGCAGTAACTCCACACAGGAAACAGCGAGCACGCACAGGAGGAGGGGCAGAGCAAGCCAGCCATCAGCCCTGTGCCAGCGCTCGCCATCTGCATGCACGGCCCGCTGGCAGACGCCGCGCACTGGCTGAGAGGTGAACAGAAACGGGAAGCCGAGAAGCAACATATTGCACCAGCCTGGGCCTCCCATCCCCAAACCTGCCAGTCATGCCTCACTGAAGACAAACTCCACAGACACAGTAACAGCACATGAGAGCTTTCATGTAAAGGCCAGGGGGTGAATCATCACAGCAGAGAAAGAGAGGCTGAAATTCCACCAAAGCACACAAATCACCGGCCTGTGTTCACTGGCAGGGGGGGGT